GACACATGAGTTCCAAAGAGAGCAAGGGAAAGACTGGAGAGAGCGGCCACCATGCAGTCATACAGCCCACTGACCACCAGAGATTGATTTGCGTTGCTTTCAATTGTGTCAGAATTCAGCCCTATGATCCAATCCTGACAGAAAAAGTAAGGGAAAGCATGGGAATGACCCATCAGATGTCAAACACAGCAGAAGCCAGTAATGCCCTCTAAGTGTTACTCGAATTGTAGCCTCATAGACAAAAGAAATGATTCATGTTTTAAATCACTAAGTCAAAGAGAGAGGTTACTGACACAATCACTAGGACATGGGCTTTCAACCCCAGCTGATACAGGGTGACAACAATATCTTTAATGGGATCACAAGACCATCATGGTGGTGCTGGCAGCGATGTGCACGTATGTGTGTCTGTGTCTGTATCTGTGTCTGTGTGTGTGTATGTGTGTGTGTGTGTGTGTCAGTCTGTCTGTCTGTATCTGTGTCTGTATGTATACTGATTTGGTTCTGTTTTTTCAAACAGGGTCTCTCTCCTGTAGCTCAGGCTGCTATTCAGCTCACCATGTAGACAAAGATGACATTGATTACTTTATCCTGTGTCTCTACCTCCCAAGTTCCAGCATTAAGGATATGGGCCATAATTCTTATCTAGGGCTTGTGTTTTATAAGAATCCTTTTTGGCAGCAGTGTGGTGTTAGGAGATATTCAATTCCACTGTAAACCTTGAGTTTGCATTTGCATTAATTAAATAAAATTAATCTTGTGTCAGAAGGCTGAGTTAGCAACTAATTGACAGAAAGTAATCATAGAGCATCAGAAGGCATCTGGAAGAGATAAAGACATGCACAGGAAGTAGTATGAAGGGTTTTTGAGTGACTTAGCTTTTTCTTTTTTGGCAGAGCAAAAAGGATGGACAGACACCAGCGATGAGAGACGGTTAGCTAGGGACTACTCAACCTCTCTGAGCTATGAGGTTTTCACCCGTCCTTTGAGTCTTGAGTTGTATTTATAGATGGAATGAGAGAGATTGAGTAAAAGCTAACTTTAGTTGAAATTGCAGAGCCACTACGTATGGGAAAAAAATCTTGCCGGGCTTAGGTCTGAGCAGCCATGCCACTGCCCCAGAAACTGGGCTGTACCTACAGAGTCACAATTGTGCTGTCAATGTTCTAAAAGTTTGGAAAGATACTGTGGTCAGCCAATACTGGAAACAAGTAAGTTACAATTCTCAAAATGGGGGCCAAATTCTTGCTGTATAAGTCACCAGTGTCCAGCCCATGGCCAGGTCATTGTCCCAAGGCAGGTGTTTCACTCCCTGGCCAGTAGTTGTTTCAAGAATAGCAAGTATTTGGAGTCAGTTGTAGTAATTTCATGTCAAAGTCCTTGTCCAGTGCCTCAGATGGTGCTTATGTTTAGAAATAGAGTTTCTAATACAGTGATTAAGTGAGAATTGGATAATTAGGACAGTCCTTAATTCAATAGAGCTGGACTATTTCCAAGATGAAGAAATCTGAGCCCAAAGGGTATCATGAACACATGCACACAGACTATGGAGAGGAAGCCAGTGAGAAGGTAGCTGTCTGCACGTCAGCAGAGAGGCCTTGGAAGGAGAGTCTGCTGTTGCATTTGTCTTGGATTCCTGGTCCCCAGAACTGGAGGAAAGAAGCTGACAGTGTTCAGGCCACTTAATCTTCCAGTCCCCAAAGAAGCTCTGTTGCACTACAGGACCCATCTGTGGCCAACGAGGACAGTCATGAAGAGGGTCCTAGGAAATGCTTCCTCCCTCCTGAAAAAGAACTGCAGGAATGGAGACCCATTCTCCCTTGTTTTGTGGTAATGCACGGAACAGCAGTAGCTACTGTGAGCTCAGCCATAGGTGAAGCAAGATGGAGACAGAAAGAACCTACAGCCTTGGATACATAAAGAAACTGCTGTGTCAGCTAAACCTGCAGGCTTCTCTTTCTAGAGTTCTTACATCATGGAGTGATATACTTACTTTTTATTTCATTTTTAATTCTCTGTGTGTGTGTGTGTGTGTGTGTGTGTGTGTGTGTGTGTGTGTGTGTGTGTGTGTGTGTGTGTGGACATGGGTGAAAGTATGCATGGAGGTCACTGGTATTGGAGGCACCTGACAGGGATGCTGGGACTTGAACTCAGGCCCTCTGGAGGAGTGACATGCACTCTCAACTGCTGAGCCATCTCTGCAGTCCTGATAGTTTACATTTTTATTTTCTCATATAATACATCCTGACCACAGCTTTCTCTACCTCCACCACTCCCAAATTCCCCCATCTCTTCCTCTCCCCAAAAATTAACTCCCCCTCCATTTCCTCTACAGAAAAGAGCAGGTCTCCAGAGATGACAGCCAACAGGACCAAATAAGACAAGGAAGGAGCCCTCATATCCAGTCTGGACAAGGAGACTCAGTAGGAACAAGATAGTACCAAGAATGGGCAAAAAATTCAGAGACACCCCCTACTCCCACTGCTGGGAGTCCACAAGAACACCAAGCTAGCAGCCATAATGTGTACACTGCAGAACCATGCAGGCCCTATGGTTTTAAAGCTACTTTGAGGTGGCATTTCAACTAGTCACCACTGAATACACCCAGACCTGAACACAGGTGTCGAGGACTGTGGGGTTAGGATCAGGCCACATGAAGAGCAGATGTAACAGGCAATATGAGCTACACTCTGGTGGTTAGGAAGGCGATATCCTCCAAATAGCCTAGAGTTTCTTAGAGTCTTAGGTCTAAAAAGATGTAGGCTATTCTATGACTTATGTACCAGTAAGGAAGAGATTTATAATGACATCAAAGCTGTCAAAAAAGAAAAGAGCAGCCTCCCAGGGATGTCAACCTAACCCAGCATAACAGGAAGGGAATGGAGGAAGACTATCTGGGGAGAGGGGCTGGGGAGAAGGGGCTGGGAGGAGTGGAGGGGTGGAGGCTGCATTGGGATGTATTGTGGAGAGAAGTGTAAAGAAAAAGAAACAGATGCATCTAGTGGGGGCCATGTCAGAGGAGCAGCAGGTGGCATCTGAGATTCAGGAGTTCAGCTCACTGCAAAGCAAGGCTCTGATGGGTGAATCTTGGATAGTCAAGGCCCAGAGGGCTTCAGCTCCAGAATGTCTCTGGCCACTGCTGACTTCACAGGTTCACTGCTGTCATTTATCTCTGGTATGGTGTCAACTGGTGTGAGGGGATTCCACCTCCTTTAATGTAATCTGATTATCTCATGGAAATATCGGGTTCTACAGGGCATTTTAACCTATGGATTATTATTAAGATGATTTCTTCTTAACTTGTACTGTTTATTAGAAGTAATGAGTTTATATAATATTAGCATTAGTTTATATAATAGAATTTTGATGATTGAGGGCTTTTAACAAATATAGTAAGGGATTATGATAGAGTTTAGTTTAGTGGGAAAATTAGTATCAGTCAAGGTAGGATATAGTGTTGCCCCTAACCTTGATAAAGCAGGGTCTGCAAAGGGTACAAAATAGAAACAAGGAAGAGTAGCCATACAGACTATGGCCCCTCCAGTGGCATCCTGCCAGGAAAGGGGAAGCCTGGCAAAGTCTGGGCTATTCCCACCAGGCTCCTCACATAAAAGGACAAGAGCCTCACCAGGACCACACTAGAGTCTCTGCACTAGAGTCTCTGCAGAGAGAGAGGTTCATCTCCACTCAGCTGGCAACTCTGAGTTTCTGGTCAGGTATGGAGGGGAAGGCAGTTGCTGTCAATGGAACAAGGAAAGTGGACTCTGGCTCAGGTCTGCTTTAGGGCCCAGAGGTGTGAGGAGATTAGAGGGAAGGAAGGAGACTTTCAGTAGGACTGGATAGGAGCTGAACTGGCATGAGAGAAAAAGATGGTCTGGATAGAGACTCACCTTCAATCTTTCTTCTCTAGATGACCATGAGCAAACTCAGCTTCCTGCTGTTTCTTATCGTGGCCACCACAGGCTGCACTGCAGGTGAGTCTTGCTACAGGACCAAGCTTCCTTAGATCGTCTCTACCTTTAAAGACAGTCAGAACTAGACTGGGTTACTTCCAGGACCTGGGTCTCTGATGGCCAGAGACCATGCTATTGTTGTTGTCATTCTTTTTGTTTGTTTGTTGCTTCTCATGACAGGGTTTCTCTATGTAGCCTTGACAGCTCTGGAACTGGATTGTAGACCAGGCTGACCTCAAACTCAGAGTTCTGCATACCTATGGCTCCTGAGTGTTGGGATTGAAGAAGTCAGTCACCACAGCTTGGCCAATAATGTCTTTTCAAATAATAATAATAATTTTTAATTAAATACAATTGCATTATTTTCCCATTTCTTTTCCTCTTTCCAACCTTTTCCAATTATATCTCTAACTCAACACAAAATTAAAGGGTCTTTGTGTTAATTGTGGGTATATATGTATGTATTTATGTATATTTTTCCTGGACGTGTAAATACTACCTAGTCCATCCCCCAGAGATGATGCCATTGAGATGTAGGCTGGATGCTGATAAACTCTTGAAGGAATTGATCAGTGGCAGTGAGATTGTTGAGGTTTGCCCTGGCCCAGATTCTGTACCTGTGTGTAGCTCTAAGGGAACTTCTTTAAGAATTGTGTACCATCCTAGTCACCTCATTATGCTTAGGACCTTGGGCTTGGAGCATCAATGCCAAGTGAATGGTCTGATTTGTACTCAGACAATGTTGTCTTCAATTCTTCTCTCTAAGGAACTCAACATTATTTTAAAATGAGCACTTCCTCTTCCCTGCTATTTTAGTGTCTTTAAGGAAAATGGAAAGTCCCTGCATTTCTTCTTCCTGCAAAATTTTACTTCTCTTCATTCATCTTTTTCAGGACTTTGAACACAAAGTTCTCCACCTTCAAATAACTTGTCTCTCTTTCTAATTGGAAATCTTGTTGATTCTAAGAGGGAGGCTTTGGGGAGTCAAGGGATGAGTTAGGATGGATGACAAGGGGAGGCTGGGTGAACCATGGGAATGAAACTCTGCATCTTCTCTAGCTCAAAAGAACCTGGATACCAACAGGCAGGCCAATCCTGTGTCTTCCTCTCTGTTCAAAAGCTGCAAGGAAATCAAGCAGGAGATGAGCAGGGCACCAGGTAAGTGGTAAAGAATTTAAAGAGCAAACTGTAACCCTAACTCCTCAACACTGTAACCCTAACTCCTCAACACTGTAACCCTAACTCCTCAACATTGTAATCCTAACACCTCAACACTGTAACCCTAACTCCTCAACATTGTAATCCTAACACCTCAAAACCCAAGCTCTGAGCCATCCTGGGGACACTCTGCAAACAAATAACCCAGTTAGGAAATCAGGATTTTGTCCTCTGGAACAGGTTCTCTTTTTTATATAAAAATGTGATAAAGCCAGGTAGTGGTGGTACATGCTTTAATTTCAGCATTGTTGAGGCAGAGACAGCCAGATCTCTGTGAGTTCAAACCAGCCTGGACTACAGAGAGAGTTACAGGACAGCTAGGACAGAAAAACTCTGACTAAAAAAAGGCAAAAGAAAAAATGATATTGGGATGCAGAATTGGTGGGGGGTTGGGGAGGAGGGAAGGAAGAGGGAACTGGGATTGACATGTAAAACAAGCGTGTTTCTAATTTAAATTTAAATAAAGAAAAAAAAGAAAATGTGATAGAATGTATATGGCAGACAAAAAATTGCACTTAATCAATTTGAAGAGTTTCCAGAGTCAATAATGGCTTTCACGATGGTATAGATCACCACTATCCATCTCCAGAAAATTTTCATTCCTTAAATGAAAATTCTATAGCCACAAAATAAAAACTTCCTGTATTCCCTGTGAGTTGCTGTCCTGTTTCCTACTTCTATGAATCTGTCAATTCTTGTTACCTCATATGAGTAATCTGTCTTATTTCATTAGCATGCTTCAAGGCTTTATGTGATGTAGAACAGTAAATTTATTTTTAAAACATTTATTGTGGCAATATATTTTTATGATTTACTAAAGTTTGCCTGAGGATTCAGATAGCAAAGTCAGCCACAAGCCATAGAAGTCAGGCACACACATTTAATCTCAGAACTCGGGATTAATATGTAGACTGATCTCTGTTAGTTCAAGGTCACACTGACTCACAAAATTGATCCAGTCCTAAAGATAAACAGCTCACACAAAGATTATTTCAGCACCTAGGATCACAAGCCATTAATCCCAGCTTAGGAAGGTATGTAGACAGGAGCAGGTTCTTGGAACTGCCATTCAGTCTCAGAAGTCTCTAGCCACTTGGGGAGAGCATAGCAGTCTGAGTGAAACTGGGGAGCAGTGAAGTTGGGAGTAGCTTGAGAATCATCCCTTCAAACTGAACTGAGGTAGAGGTAAAAGCTAGTTGTTTTTTGCTTTGCTTTTCTGATCTTCTGCTTGAAGCTTGAATCCCAATATCTGTCTTTGAATCTTCTTTCTTTTCCTGTTACAATATATTATTATAATTGTGAATGGATGTACATGTCTGTGTGTGGGAATGTGTACATGTATGTGCAGATATGTGCAGAGTCTAGAAGAGGCCACCTAGCCCTCAGGAGCTGGAGTGGCAGACACTTGTACACTGCCAAGTGTTAGTGCTGGAAACCTAACTAAAGACCTCTTCTAGAGCAGTACTTGCTCTTAAAAATGGAGTCATTTCTCCAGCCCACTTCATCCTTTTTGATCTATTGGACATATAGGAATATACACAATATACATTCTGCATACTAGACAGCACACCATAATGCTTGTTCCTTTTTGTGTAGAGAAATACTTGGCTTGTGACAAGATGTGTAACGAACATGAATGTACATATGTGAGTCCCTGTTCCCAGTTCATTGGATAATTCCAAGTGGAGCTGCTATGTCCTTTGATAATACTGTGTTTAACTTTAGAACAAAAACATCACTGTCAGTTTGAGTAATTCTGTGCTCTGCCTCAGTCACAGATGCCTGGCTTTCTGAATTCAGGCAGATCCCCAGGGACACCTGATATAGGATACTCAGGGTATGAGGCATTAATACTGTTTGTAGTTCCTAGAGCCATTCTCTGCTGGAGCAGAGATAGACAATGAGCTGCACACAGGAGGACTCTGAACTGGTTCTCTCTACAGACGGCCTCTATTTCCTCCGCACTGAGAATGGTGTCATCTACCAGACCTTCTGTGACATGACCACTGCAGGTGGTGGCTGGACCCTGGTGGCTAGTGTGCATGAGAACAACTTGCATGGGAAGTGCACAGTGGGCGATCGCTGGTCCAGTCAGCAAGGAAACAGAATAGACAGCCCAGAGGGCGATGGCAACTGGGCCAACTACAACACCTTTGGGTCTGCAGAGGGCGCCACAAGTGATGACTACAAGGTTGGTACACTCTGTAGCCACTTGGGAAAGTGAGGATGTGAGTGTAGCTCAGGCATGCAGGGAGAGGGGGCAAGGTTGCCCTTCAACATAGGGATGAAGAAGGGAAACATACTTATCTTGAATCTCAACATCCTCCTGAGTAGGCTTTTAGGTATGTAGGTGGTGATGGGGCATTATCACTGGGAATGGGGGCATCTGAGCATGGCTGGTCATCTGTCCACCTGGAGCCCAGAGACATCGGCTGTGCTGAGGACTGTGCATGTGGGTCTTTTCCTTAGTGAAATCTCCTGGTCTGGTCAGGCTCAGTGTTGGTTTCTTTCTAGAACCCTGGCTACTTTGACATCCAGGCTGAGAACCTGGGGATCTGGCATGTGCCCAACAATAGCCCCCTGAAAAATTGGAGGAAGAGTTCCCTGCTGAGATACCGCACCTTCACTGGCTTCCTGAATCACATGGGCCATAATCTGTTTGGCCTGTACCAGGTACATGAGACTTCTGGCTAAGGTTGCTTTTCATGGGTGTGGAGAGAAAAGTAGGTGGGTTGCATTCCATGTTTCCCTAATTCTAAGTGTAATGAGCTAAAGAAGACAAGGAATTCATGTACGCAGAAAAGAGAAGAGAGGAGAGAAGTAGGGAGAGGGAGAGAATGGAATGGAATGGAATGCAATGCAATGCAATGCAATGCAATGGAGGAGAGGAGGAGAGGGGATGGAAAGGGAGGAGAAGGAGGACAGGGGAAGGAAGAGAAAGGTAGAGGAAGGAATCTAGGGTGTAAAAGACACAGACAAAGGAAAGGATTCTTTCTTATCTGACTGTTTGGCAACCATCTCAGTTACTGCACAAAGGCTGTGCTTCTCTGAGCAGGGCAGGGTCCTGGGATTGCCAATGCTGTATTCCCTATGCAGTGACTTCTTTTGTTCCTTGTAGAGATACCCGGTGAAATACGGAGCAGGGAAGTGTTGGACTGATAATGGCCCAGCATTACCTGTGGTCTATGACTTTGGTGATGCTCAGAAGACAGCCTCTTATTACTCCCCCAATGGCCAGAGTGAGTCTCTAAGTCTCCTCTGATCCCTCTGCAGAACACGTGATGAATTCAGTTATGATAAGTATCAGTCAATTACTGTCCACCACAGCCTGCTTCTCTTCTCTGAATGTCTGTGCTTTGTTTTGCTTCATTCAATTGATGGTCCTTGGGCTCTCAACTATCACTAACCCATTTTACAGATTAGGAGACTGGAGCACTGAAGGTCAAGGAACTTGCCTGAGAGCACAGGGCATAAGCAGGAGAGTCAGCATTTGGGGATACATGGTTCTGGAATCTACTCTTTGCAACCCACTGTCAGTCAGACAAACCATGTCCCTGTGCACAGAGTTGATCAACAGAAAACAAATGGAGTTTTGTTTCGTTTGTAGGGGATAACCTTACATTGCTTAACATAAATGCAAGTGTGGTACACACTCTTTATAAATGCTGAGCCTGTGCTGTATAATTCAAAGCTCTTCTTATTTTATGTTTGAGATGTAAGACTTGAAAAGAAAACTTAACAAGATAAATATGAACAGGAATGGAATGGATGCACTTGCTAACTGCTGTAACAAGCCCTTGGAGATCCTCAGTAGAGATCTTCCTGTATCATAAATTTCTCCATTCAAGCTCTGGCAGATGGGGACCTATTCTCAAGGACTGGCTTTTGGGGTCTGTGGATGGGAATAGATAAGACTCCCCCAATGGGGCTGATATTTTAGACTGTTTATCCTGAAACTGGCACCACCAAATTCTGGTCTGGAAGCTATTTCTAGCATTTTCCTTGAATGCTGTTTTTTGTCCCTCATTTTCAGGTGAGTTCATTGCAGGATACATCCAATTCAGAGTGTTTAATAATGAGAAAGCAGCCAATGCCTTGTGTGCTGGAATGAAGGTCACTGGATGTAACACTGAGCATGTGAGTCTGTGTAGTGATGATAGAGCCTCATGAATATGACTGAGGTTGCCAGTGTGTATCTGTGAATATTGAGTGTGGGAGACTGTCATACTAGAGAGTGTACACGTAGGAGAGTGTGACCTTTTCCCTTACCTTGCTTGGTCTCAGGGATCAGAACTTCTGTCTAGATATAGATACCCTACCTTGTTGAAGACCATACTCAACATGACAAACTTCTAATGCACTGTTGCTGTTTGCTTAGATATTAGGATAAACACTCAGTTACTTGGAATGAGGGTGACACTTGTGTTCAGAAAGTCCTGTACAAGCCTTTGGAGGCTGAGATTGTTAGAGTCACCAGGTATTATCACTCTCCACCTGGAATTTAGCTTTTAAAGTAAAATATATCATTTCCATCCCTTTCCAGGGCGTATATAGATGTTGGCTGTGCCAGGGGTTACTAGAATTTTGGACATCTGGTAGACATCACCTAGGCCATTATCTTCTCTATCACAAGGAATTTCTCTTGTTGGATGTTGGCATATCAACTAAGTGCAAAGGCAGGTACCCTTGGCTCCACTGCAGCAAACTGATGTCCCCCTGAGCCTGGGATCATCAGACTCATACTGTTTTGTTTTGTTTTGTTAATAATTTTTCACCAAAAGAGGGTTGAGGATGGAGCCCTTTATTTACCAGAGTGAAAGCTGTAACAAGTTAACATGTTTTGAACAAGCATGGTGGTGCACATCTTTAACCTCAGCACTCAAGTGATAGAAGCAGGCAGATCTCTGTGAGTTTGAGGCCATCCTGGTCTTCATAGTGAGTTTCAGGTCAACCAGAGCTACATAGCAAGACCCTGTCTCGAAAAAGAAAAATAGCATGTTCTCTTGAGATCCAGCCCTCCCTAAAGTAACAGTCTGAGACAAGGGTCCTCAGATCCTGCTTAGGATCTCAGTGTCTATTCATTCCTCAGTCATTAGCTTGTCATTCACCTGGTCAAGATGAGACAGCTTTGCTCTCAAGGAGAACCTTGGGACTGTGATGTGGAATGATGAAATGGGAAGATCATGTGATGTTGAGGGAATAGTAAGTTGTTTTCCATTCTGTTGTATAAGATGGATGTGATTACAGAAAGAACTCGTTTTGGAAATGTTAGCATGGACTTGATCAGGAAATAACTTTTACAACACACCAATGGTTTTAAGATTGTATGTGGTGAACACCACTTCAATGTTTTAATGGGCACATAAAATTTATATAAGCATTCGTTTTTTGCTCAAAGATGACACTGGTACATAGAGGTTACAGATTTTAATGGAGGAAAAACTAAGAATAAGGAAATAAGTATTGAAATGGCTCTTGTGCTCCAAATGAGAGCCTGATGTAGTATGATGGAAATTTGGGAGAAAAACTTGGGAACTAGTGAATACAAAGATCTTAAGTTTATTAATGATTGAATACAGAGAATGACAAGAGAAGACAGCTGCAATGAGTCTTTTTCTATCCCAAAGCCACCTCTCATATAATAACACAGAAACTTCTTATTAATTGTGAAAGCTTGCCCTAGCTTAGGCTTGTTTCTAACTAGCTCTTAGAACTTAAATTAACCCACATATTTTAAATTTTTATTTATTTATTTTACATACCAATCACAGTTTCCCCTCCTTCTTCTCCTCATTTTCCCTCACCACATACCTTCTACTTGCTCCCATCCACTTCTTCTCCATGTCCATTCAGAAGAGGTAAGGCCTCTCATGGGAGTCAACAAAGCATGACACATCAAGTTGAGGCAGGACCAAGCTCCTCCTCCTTCCATCAAGGCTGGGCAAAGCATCCCAACATAGAGACTAGGTTCTAAAGAGTTAGTTCATGCATCAGGGACAGGTCCTGGTCCCACTGCTAGAGGCCCCACAAACAGACCAAGCTACACAATTGTCACCCAGATTCAGAGAGCCTAGGTCAGTCTCATGCTGGCTCTCTAGCTGTCCATCCAGAGTCCATGAGCTCACACAAACTCAGGTCAGATGTCTCCATAGATTTTTTCCATCATGATCTTGACTACCCCCTTGCTCATACAATTCCTCCACCCTCTTCAACTGGACTCCGAGAGCTTAGCCCAGTGCTTGGCTGTGGATCTCTGCATCTGCTTCTATGAAGTACTGGATGAAGGCTCTATGATGACAACTAGGGCAGTCACCAATCTGATTACAGGGGAAGGCCAATTCACTAATTGCTAGGAGTCTTAGATAGGGTCATCCTTGTGAGTTCCCATGAGCCTCCCTGGTTAGGTTTCTCCCTAACCCCACAATAGACTCCTCTTTCAATATATCTCCCCCATCATTCTCTCCCTCCAACCCACCCACAACCCAATCATCCTAACCCCTTGTGTTCCCATTCTCCATTCCCCTCTCTTCTACTCCCCCTGCACCCCCAGGTTACCTAGGACATCCCCTCTACTTCCTCTTCCCCGGAAGATCCATGCATCCCTCTTAGGGTCCTCCTTCTAACACACATTTCCTTATCTACATTCTTCCACAAGCTTGTTACCTCTCTTCATTCTGCCTATCCTGCTTCTTCTACCTATGAGTAGTGACTCTGCCTTTCTTCTTTCCAGAGCTCTTGCTGTCCAGAAGTCTCACCTATACCTCCTGCCTAGCTATTGACCATTTAGCATTTTATTAAACCAATCACACTGACACATCTTCACACAGTGTAAATGAATATTTCACAACAGACATTTTGAATAATTTCATGGTTTGCATTTGAGTAGATGAATTTCAAATAGTAAGCCATGATCTCTAGATGTTGAATATGTTTGGGATCAAGGATAGATACATAGTTATATGATCCTGGATTTTTAAGACATTGATTTGATTCTATTTGTATGTGGACACATGCATATTCAAGTGATCACAGAGGTCAAAAGAAGACATTGGATCCCTGGGGATTGGAATTAAAGTCTTTTGATTGGATGCTGAGATCTGATACAGATGCTGGGATCTGAACTTTGATTCTCTGATATAGTAAGATGTCTTAACCTTAGGGCCATCTCTCTAGCCCCCATATTACTTGCTTGTTTGGATGGGATTTTATTTTGTCTTGTTTCAGATGTATTTATTTAATTTGATATGTATGAGTGTTTTACATGCGCATATATATATATATATTGTTTTAGTTCTTGGTACCCTTGAGCCACAATACTGTATTCTATGCCCTGGAACTGGAGTTACAACAGTTGTGAGCCCCACATGGGTTTTGGGACCCAAGCAGCAAGTTCTCTTAGCCACAGAGCTATCTCTCAGCCCCAATGTTACATGCTTTGATCATTGATGGATTTTGTATATGATGGTGGTCCCAGAGGGTT